GCCGGCTCTGCGGGTCCAACCCTGTGCCCCACTCCTGGACCCAGAGGGCGAGAGAACCGTTGAAATGAATCTAAATAAAATCTCTTTGCCCCAGAGGCCTTGAAGGCAAAATCCGAATAAAAACCTAAAAAGACCCATAAGGGAGGCGTCCTTTCCTCCACACCCTGCCCCTACCCCAACCACTGGTTCCCCATTTAAACTTCTCCAGCAGAGGCTTCTCTTGGGCACCACCCACAAGTCCTCTTCCCCACTCACTCACTTCCTGTCTCATGCCCAAGCCATGTGGGCAGCGGGGCAAGACTTTGGCCTGGGGAGAGGGGCATTTTCTTGGGGGACCATCGTCTCTCCTCGCCAGGTTAGAATTAGCATTTTTATCTCTGCAACTGCCATCTCTCAACTATTTACAGAAGGCAACAGGATAAAAAGAGACAACACAAAAATAGTTGCTCAGCAGCTTTCAGGATGGGATGGGGGTGGGGGCGCAACACAGACACTTCCAGTTTTCTTTCTCTCCTTTTCAAAAGGAAAAAATGGCTAGAATTGTTTACCTCTTCCAAAGCGCACCCCGACAGTTCACAAACCACTTGCTGGGAGCTTCTTGGGGACAGGGATCAAGTCCCAGCGTTCCTCAGTTCCCAGGGCAGGGCTTGTCACCAGCCCCCCCGAGAAGTATGGGTTCAGTGAAAGATCATGACGGTTCCAGGGCCATCGCTAAGTACAACGCAGCGCCCTGCTCTGCCCTGTTTCCGTCACCTCCTGGGCCTCCTTCCAGCCTTCCAAAAAAACCAGCCAGTCAAACAACATAAAACAAAACAGAACTTTGGCTTTTCTCTATGCTTAAAATGTTTCATAATTGGAGAAAAAAATTTGGTGGCAACACTACAAACATGACTGAAACGGAAAACACTGGCGGCTAAAATAATCCCGTCCCCATTTTGGTCAGTGACATCCCCCGCCGGGGAAGGCCAGGGCCAGAGGGCTTCCCTACGAGGTCAAGGGGCACCCACCTCCTTTTCGATAGGCTCTGTTTCTTGGTTTTCTTGAGGAAGCGATCCAATCAGAGAAGAAAGAAAAAAGAATCATTCAAAATCTTATTTTTCAGAGAGCAAAACCATTTGGAAATTATTTCTGCGCCACAACATCCTGGAGAACGTGGGTTCTACCGCATGAGAAAATGGGCTTCCCGGCCAGCATAAGGAGGCCAAGGGAAACACAGGGTGCAGGACCCGAAGGTATGTCAGGACCCCAGGGGACCTGAGCGCCGGTTTTCCCTTCTGTAAAATGGAGCCACCTCAGCTCACCTAGCGGGTGGTCCCCAAGGTCCGTCTTCTGTATGACGGTGCCCAGCACACAGCTCACCTCCTAGTCAACGCTCTGAAAAGACCACGTTTTCCCTTCCTCTCTGAGCTCCACCATCCCCTGGTCAATCAGAAGGGGCTGAGGGTCTGGTCGTTTCTGGGTCCCCCTCCTGGCTCCATTTTCCCGCTGCTCCATGTCCGGTCCATGTGGGCATTTCTGGCAAAGCTATCGGGAGAGACGGAGCTGACTCCACGCCCAGGCACGGAGTTAGGGCACCATCTGTCTGGTGAGGCTCTCTCTACTTTGTGGATTTACTTACCTGGAAAAAGTCTCACAAAATACGTAAAATAAAATCACACGGGGACCTACATTTAACAAATCGTCATCACTGAAAAGAATGGAACTGAATGAAATCCAGACTGTCTCTGAAAATCACACATGATACCTGTGACTCGACCCGGGAGGCAGTGGGCTTAGAAAGGGAGCTAGGGTTCTTGTGGAGGGGCAGGTGGCGGTGAAATTAAGGGAGTCCTGAAAACCTTGCTCCGGGAAGCTGGTCCCCAGTTGATTTCACAGAACCATCCTTCCATCACCCTCTCTGCAAACAGAGTGACAAATAATGTCTTATGCCCAGAGGGTTATTAATTGGGGGCTGCCAAGGCAGAGGAATGGACACACTGGCCTTAAGAAGCCCTTATGAAGGAAACAACCCAAATGTCCATCAACGGATGAATGGATAAACAAAACATGGTGTATCCACACAAGGGAATACTATTCAGCCACAGAAAGGAAGCGCTGATACATTCTACAACTCTGACGAACCCTGAACATATCAGGCTCAATGAAAGAAGCCAGACACAACAGGTCACATATTATTAGCAGGTCAGTAAGGTAACAAGCACAGCCTGAAAGAAGAAAAGTCCATTCCAAAAGGGAAGCGCAGATGCCTCAACTTCGAGGAAAGAAGGCACAGAAGCTGGGTGACAGCAGCTGCGGCACCACCGAGCCAGGCCACCCCGCACCCCACATCCGGGTTCTTCAACCCGGTCCAAAGAGGAGGAGCCACTGGAAAAGCAAAGCATCTGGAGAAAATAGCAATGAAGGCCCTCTGACCCAAAGGAAAATCTGAAATAGCATTTGCCCCAAATCTCCAGGATCAGGAAAAGAAATGGGAACCATGTGCTTCCCGCAGCCACCAGAAGAAGGAACACTGGGGAGAAGGTCACAGGTGACGCCGAACAGTTACTTAGCCTCTCTGAGCCCTTACATCAAACGGGTTCATGGAGAGGTAAGGGCGACGCTGTGGTCCATGTTAAAATCTGAGCCAAAGTGCCTGTCCCACGCAGCCCACCCCTTCCTCCGGAGGGAGGTGCCCCCCACCCACCAGCTCATCTTGGATCCAGACTGAGGTTCTCAAGGAGGGAACTCTGGGTTCCTGCAGAAAGTTCCCTCTGCCAGGTCATCCCGTCCTATCTCCCTTCCTCCTACTCCCATCCAATCTCCACGTTTTAGCCCATCCTTCAAGGCTCAGCACAAATGACACCTCCTTCAGGGAGCCTCCTGGATTCATACCACCCAGAAGGGACTTCTCCAGAACCCCCACTGACCTCTGCCTCCTTCATCCCACAGCACTCATCCCTCCTGGTATTTCTCAGCAGAGGCACTCCTGGCATTTAGGACAGGGCAATTCTTCATGCCTACTGTGGATGTCTGCTTGAGGATCTGGCCTGCTTGCAGGATATTTGGCATCCTGGCTCCTGCCCACCAAAAGCCAGGGGTGCTCAGCATCATTGTGACAACCAAAAGTTGCCTCCAGACTTTTCCAAATGCTCACCAGGAAGGCGAGACAGCCCCTGATGAGGGCCACTGCATAGTGATGAGTGAATACATTTGGCTACCAGCCTCCTAACAACCTGGGAGGAAAGATAAGCCCAAGCTGATCAGCATCACCACGATGCCTGCGGAGATCTGTGTCTTCATAGGCTACTCTAGTAAACAAATCTGGGCCCCTCAAGAAGCTGAGGGCAGCCTGCAAGGGCCCCTACTCTAAAACAGGTGGTAAAGCGCAAAGGTTCTAGAGCCTGACATGCCTGGGTCGGCTGAGTGACCCTGGCAAGTTACTTAACCTCTCTGAGCCCTTTTATAAAATGGGGCTAATTCCTAGCAACACTGCAGGATTGTTTCAAGCCTCAATCTCCTCATCTCTACAATAGGGACAAAAATCTGCCTCATAGGATTTTGGTAGGCACTAAATGAGATAACGCATGCAACACATAGCACAGTATCTGGCACACAGCAAGAACTCAACAAATATGAGTTATTAACATTATCAGCATTATTATCCAAGTTACGGCTCATCGAATGATGGCTGTCACTTCTTACTACAAAAATATCTTGCGCGTTCTCGCTGTGAATGGCTGCTTCTCTACAGGAAGGGGTATGAGCAGCAATATGGAAGGGGGTTCCAGACTCACTAGGAAGCTGTATTTGCATAGCATGCACACTGTTTACTCTCAAACTGCACATTTTTGTGGGGTGGCTTGGGAGAAGGGGTCTAACTCCCCCAAAGCCGTCCCCCTGCTGCTGCCCCTGCCTCCCCCCAGGAGCAAGGGAGCCTATGGGGACCTAGATCCATCCTCTTCTCTCTCCCCTGGGGGCAGGGCCAGGGGCGGGGGAGTGGTGAATGACAGCGCAGCTCTAGGGCGCAAGAAGTTTCTATCTCTAGGATTGTGGGCACTTCCAGACCGAGGAAGGTAAAAGTTGCCTCTCAGGAGGTGGACACTGCATGTCCCACCCCGAAGCCAGCGCGCCCCTCTCCTGCTGACCGGCACTAAGATCCCCGCCCCCAGCACCCTCCGTCTGCCCCCACCTTCTGGGGGAGACAGGAGGGGCGGAGGTGCAACCTCTTCAGCGCCAAGTGAGAGCAGCAGGGCGGCTGGCAGAGCTGTGAAAACACCCGGCTTCCCAAACTGGGCAGTGCAGGGGGTGGGGGAAGCCAGGAAAAGCTCGAGGCTGGAGCGAGTGGAACCCCAGGCATGCAGAGCGGGGCTGGGCCCAGCACCCCGCGTCCCCAAGAGTCAGGCGCAGGGTGCCAGGGAAGGCACCGCTGCGTTCACAGCGTGCTGCGGCCCCGAGGTGAATTTAGGTCAAAAGGACCAAGCCCGTGAGGTTCCGGCTGCCAGAAGCGGGGCGGGGGCAAAGTCCCCCCGCCCCACAACTGCTGTTCTGGGGTCCTGCCGCCTGGTGTCCAACCCATAGGGCCTGGGTTAGCCCCCAAGACAGGCGGGGTGCGGGGGTGGACAGCTCAAAGTCCCGTGGCCCTCACCCCTGCGCGCTCCAGTTTCCCCACCTGTCAAACGTGGGGGTGGGCCTAGGCCGCCTCCAACATCCTTCACTGCCCCCGCCCCCGGCGACAACGGTTCCAAACTCCGGGACCGCCCCTGCCACCCCGGGCCGGGCGCGGCCCAGCCAAGAAGGCCACCCCCAGGCCCGAGCACGCGGGGAAGGGGCGCCGGGGGGCCGCGTCTCCCCACGTGGCGGGGCGTGCTGGCGGCGCACGTGGGGTCCCCGGGGTGGGGGAGCCCGGAGCCGGCCTCGGGGCTTTGTCTGCATCCCGGCAGGGGTCCCCGCCCGAGAGCGCGAGGCCGCCGGGAGCTGCGGAGGCTGCAGTCCCCGCCCGCCGCCCGGCTCCCGCCGCTCACCTGGGCTCCGCGCCGCCGCCGCGTCCCGCGCTCGGCGCCCCCGGCTCGGCTCGGCCCGGCTCGGCGGCGGCGCGCTCTCTCCGCGGCCCCGGCGGGCGCGGCGGGCGGGGCGGGAGGAGCCGCCGGGCCCGGCTCGGGCGCGCCGCCGCCGCGGGCTGCGCGGGGATTGGCCGCGGCCGCTGGAACCCCGGGCGCGTCCCCGCCGGCTCGGGCGCGCGCCGGGAGCGAGGGGAGGGGAGCCGCCGGAGACGAAAGTAACGGGGGGCGGAGGCAGGGGAGGGCGGGGAGGGGGGGCGAGGCGGCGGGGAGGGGAAGTGCGGCCCGGCGCGGGGGGGCCAGGAGGTGGCCGACCCGCGGGGAGGGGGGCCTGCCGGGCGCACGAGCCCCGGAGGCCGCGCTGCAACTTCGCTGGCGCCGCGACGCGCACCTGGCCCGTTCGTTGCGCGGCGGCCGCGGCGCCCTCGGGCCGGCCGGACGCGCCGGCAGCGCTCGCTTTGTTTTAGCCAAAGGCGGGGACTGCAGGGCGGCGGCTGAAAGTTCCCCAAGCCTGCGGGACACCGGGATCCCGCCCCGCTCCCCGACTCCCGCCCTGGGGCTGCAACCCCTGCCCGGCGGTGGACGTGACCTGGATTTCGGGTCACCACCGGTTTGGAGAAACCCCTTCCGCACACCCCTCCCCAGTGACCATTGCTCGGGGCCCGCCCTAAAGGCTGGGGGCCGGTGTTCCTCTCCCACCCCGACTCCACCAGGATATACCAAACTACACGAATCCCAGTGAAGTTCTGGCTTTTCCCGAAGACTGCTTACATGCTTTTTGTGAGATAACATCATATTCTTCCCGAACATTCTACTCCTTTTGGCGCCCTGCTTTGCTGGAGCCTTAAGTGTGTGTTTAGTCTCCCAACTGGGCAAGAGCACTGCGAGGGAGGGGGCGGGGGAGAAGACCTCAAGGGCTGCCGGACGCGGTCCTTGGGTGGTCTCGAAACCCAGTCCTGAACCGAAAGTCATCCAGGAGATGTCTCGCCGACCTTGCCAAGCAGCCAAAAGGGAATCAAGAGTTGAGAGAGTCAAGGGCCATATTAATGAAAGGTTCACAGCTCTCCTCGCCTCTCTGATGTTGTTCAACATGCACGCATTTGTTGGTAACAGCAAGGACCTGGGAACGAGCGTCCTAAATGTTCATTAGAGGAATGGATAAATGAGATGTGTCGTTTGGTGGAATACCATGCAACAGTTCAAAGGAATACGTTAGATCTGTGTGTACAGACATGAAGAGATTCCCAAAAAGGAAATGCTGAAGAGTAAGTTGCGGAAGACAATATGATGCACAACTTGTGTGTACTGTTTTTAAATCCCACACAGTCTATATTGTTCACGGACACGTGTTTACATATGTGTTTTAAAAGTCAAAGGGGAAGGGTGCAAATTAAATTCATGACAGTCTGTCCCAAAAAAGGAAGTAGGGACAGAGAACAGAGAGGGAGGAGCATAAGCAATGTTGTCAAGTTTTATGCCTTTTACTTATAAATGGATTTGAAGCAAATGGCGAAATGTTAACAGTCAATTCTGAATGGTGGATGCGTAGTTCTGTATTTTTCTATTTTCTCCCCAAAAATACATAGTGGGGCTGATGGGGAGCATTTTGGACATTTATGACTCTAGGATAGGGGTCAGCAAACTTTTTCTGTAAAGGGCCAGATAGTAAATATTTTAGGCTTTGCAGGCCGTACCGTGTATGTTGCAACCACTCAACTCTGCCGTTCTAGCAGCATAGACCAAAGTAAATGAATGGACATAGCTGTGTTCCAATAAAACTTTATTTACAGATGCTGAAAGTTGAATTTCATGTAACTTTCACATGCTACAAAATAGGAATTTTGATTTGTCTTCAACCATTTAAAAATGAATAACTGATTCTTAGCTGGCAGGCCATATAAAAACAGGTGGCATGCCAGATTTGGCCCATGGGGCAATAGTTTGGCAACCCCTGCTTTACTAAGGAAACCAAAACAGATATTAGTTGATGTCTTTTCCTGTTACTTGTTAAAATATACAATTCTATATGTTTACATCATGTTACTAAATTGCCTGTTTTATTAGAACGCTGTAGCTAACACAGGCAGAAACTTAGATATACAGATGGCTGTGTAAAGTTAGAAACCAATTGTGTAAGAAAGGTTAGAAGGAGCCCATTGAAACCCTAGCCTGAGATTCTCTTCTTTCTGGAAGAATTTCCTGAAATGCTATGACCCAGACCCTCCTTGACGTCTCTCCTCTCTGATCTCTTATAGCAAAGACTGCAGCTTATTTGATGCTCAGCCACCATGTCTTCCTAATCTTTACTTTTTTCACTCATGTGCTTTGATTTGCCAATAGAGCTGTAAATTCCTGGAGTATAGGTAGGTACCACATCTGAAACATTTGTATACTGTCAGCATTGGGGCTGAAAGCAGTGACTCTGGAGTCAGGGAGACCTAGTTCAAATCCCACCTTTGCTTGTTACCAGCCCTGTGGCTTTGGACAAGTGACTTGATCTCTCCTGGTTTGGTTTCATCAGCTGTCAAATGTCGTCAGTAATGGCACTCGAGCTCACAGGCTGCGCTTGAGGTTTAAATACAATAATGTGTATAAAGATAATGGCTTGGTACCTGGCACATAAACGTTCAATGGAGCTAACTATGAATATACTTAGCACAGAGCTAAAAACCCCATCAATTATGTGCTTGTCTTATTAAGGGGAATTAGAACAAAGCAGAGAACATCACAATTGTCTTTCCTTGTCATTCAGCCCCTCTTATGATAGGAATTATCCCACTTTAGGAAACCATTTTCGTCTTAGAGATAGGAAACTAAGAATTGGCTTTGTTTTTTGAGTTTTCTCCTCCAAGAACACCAGAAAACCCTATTCTAGGCAAACAGATCTTGTTGTCTTGACAACACAGATTGCCAAGAAAATAAGTAAACAAAGCATCTGAATCTTATTTTTAAAGGAAACTTGAACAGTACAAGGGAAGGGCTGAAAGGTAAGACTTTGAAATTATCCCGCCCACTAGGATGGCGCCACAAGCTCCTGCCAGCGCTTCGTCTTTGAACTGTTCTGTGTTCTACTCATGTTGTTCACTGGAATGTTCCACCTCCCAAAACTTGAGCATCCGGATAGAGACAGCAGGATTGATCACACTGATTATTTTATTTGTTGAATTCTTTCCCATTCAACAAAACAGTAGAAAAATGCTGGCCAAAAAAAAAAAAAGACCCTGAGAAGTTTCCCTTCAACCAACGAGATTAATATGTTTGTGAGTCCCCAAAATAACTAACAACATAAAAGAAGGCAGCTGGGGTGTAGATAAAGTTCTTCATTTGTCTTAGATGTACTACAAGAAAGAAAAAAGTCAGTGTAACCACCAAAACGCGTCAGGACAAAATTCATACGCTCTGAACCAGTAGAAAGATTCGGGGTAACAGAGGAACACAACGTGGTCTGGTGATGCGAGAGCCTGTAGGTGAGGAGCCGGTCACACCCAGAACTGAACCCTGACGTTGGTCCTTACTAGTGAGGGGGCTCCATCAGGCTGGATCTCTGGGGCTTTGTTTCCTCACCTATAAAATGGTATTTGGCTTCCAGGCATTAGAGATGGTATGTGTGAAAGGACCTAGCACAGTGGCTGGCCTATATTGGGCACTAGATAAATGACGACTCATATTATCAATTATGCATTCAACAAACTGAAGAAGAATATTCACAACGACAGTACAGTACTTTTCAAAACTGAGAACAGGCTGCTTTAGGGTAATGCACCAACTAGGCTGGATTCCCAGCTCTGCAACCTACTAGCTGTGTGACCTTGGGTGAATGGCTTAACCTCCTTATGCCTCAGTTTCTCTTCTGTTAAATGGGATTAATGCTATTGCCTAACTCTTAGAATTGTTATGAAGCTTAAATGTGTTAATATACATAAATAACTTACCACAGGGCACTCTGTGTTAGCTGTTTGTCCCCTTGCCCCACAGTTGGAAACACCCACACCAAATCCACTAGGTACAGAGTTCCCACCACGCCAAGCCACTGGCTCAGGTCACTACACTGTTTTTCTCTTCCCCTTTGAGGATAGATCCTAAGGTCTCTGGGATAGGCCTGAATGCGCACTGGCTATTTCGCTTCAATTCCTTCCTCACCAAACCCTTTCTCCATTTAACCATTCATGAATACTTACACCCCTGAATTAAACCACCCGTAACTACACCAGCCTGACTCTTCCTCCCCCCACCAAATGCTCCACCAGGAAAAAACCCAATTAGCTGTGACCCAGACATTTCTGAGTTTTGGGGTCACTCTGATGTTTCCAACTTTCCATTTGACCCACTATTCCTTCCTGGAGGAGATGGGCCCCAGCCAACAAATCTAAGTCACAGATGGCAGGGGGGCCACAGACTATATTAGCTTGGGATTCAGTCCTCCCAAGGTGAATGTGCAGGCTGAGAGCAGGGTCAGGCAGGCTGGCTCCACAGGCATGCAAACTGCAGTCGCACAGAGCTGTATGCTCATAAGGGCCTCGTACCTGGTCTAATGCTCTGCTTAACATAGGCCTCATGGTTTTAATTTGTACTGGGCCCCACAATTTATGTAGCCAGTCCTGGTCAGGTTTAATGTCTGGTTTTTATGTTGATACCTGTGGGATCAGCTGCGCAAGCTTGCCCCATCTCTTGGACCTTAATAAGGCAGAATGATTAAGATCACTTCTTCGATTGGAAGGATCTTAGTTTAAACACATTGATCAAAACTGACATCAGATGAAAGAATATATTTGGAAGAATAAAAAGAAACTGATAATAGTGGTTACTTTCTGGGAGGAGGAATTACTTTTTACTATACAGCCTTTAAGAATATTTAATTTGGGGGCTGGCCCGGTGCAGTGGTTAAGTTCGTACATTCCACTTCAGCGGCCCAGCGTTCACTGGTTCAGATCACGGGTGTGGACCTATGTACTGCTTGTCAAGCCATGTTGTGGCAGGTGTCCCACATATAAAGTGGAGGAAGCTGGGCATGGATGTTAGCTCAG